ATCAGCAATGTTGGGACATGCTGAAGGCCCATATCATCATGTGTTAAAGATCATTGATTTGAGAAAATATTTCCAATGAGACAGAAAGATATGAAGAATGAAAAGGGTAAAACAGTGACAGTCAAGCTATCTATACATAATTACTTCGTTCATCAGGCAGTTACATCAGGGTCTTGTTGTTGAACAAATATTTACTCAGCAAGTATGGCTTCAAATACCTAATCTTCTTAACCATGTATCACATGACAGCGTGTTCTTTGTTAATCTACATCATGGTTGCATGAATAAAGATGGTCCTTAGGCAAATCATTTGATCCAAGGTTCAGTTAGTCAAAATCTCGGCTTTGAATTTTGCATTCTCTGTATCAGTGATAATTGAAAATATTTCTTTGAGATTCATGTCAGTTAATTTCAACCATACTGTTGAGGTTATGAAGTTGTTTTTCACATCAGTTTTGTTTACTTGATGACATTGGAAAGGGAGACTCGACTCACTTACATTACTGTTATTCCCGTTGTTATTGGGATCATCATTGCTAGCCAAGATGAATTGAGTTTTCATCTATTTTGGTTTTATCATGTGTTTCATCCCCAAGAATTCCACGGATATCTTTCTGTACATTGATCCTATAGTTGAAGTGTTTCTACTTTCTACAATGCTCATTATGAAAGAAAGCATGATCAGTATCACATTTGCCTTTTCCAGAGATGATATCAAGATTTGTTGGTATCTTCTATTCAATTCGACACCAGCACATTCTGTGAATTTGACCAACTTTTTGGTCATACCAACATTACACTTGAATTCCTATTAAGTTTTGTTCTCAAGTGGTCTTGTGACGTCATTCAAAAACTTTGAACAATAGGTAAAGAGCTTCAATAATTGAGAAATTTGAGCAGAAGCCACAGAAAAGGATGAATGTATTGTCAAATGCTTTACGAACATCTGAGCAGAAGCCACAGAAAAGGATGAATGTGTTGTCAAGTGTTTTACATCCCACAGAAAATGATGAATGTGTTGTCAAGTGTTTTACATCTGAGCTGAAACCACATGAGATGAAGAATGTGTTGTCAAATGGTTTACGAACATCTGAGCAGAAGCCACAGGAAAGGATGAATGCGCTGTCAAATGTTTTACGAACCTGCTATTCTGATATTGAACCAATGTTGTGATCATATGGTTTCCATTTATTGATCCAAGATGAAGTTTGTCTTTTTCAACTTCAAGATTATAAGATGAGATATGATGAAGATTTCTTTCCGCAGATGGAGAGCTAAAATTTTAACCACAAGAAACTAGTTAAACGACAGGTTGTGGTGCTTTGTTCAAGAACCAATTATATGTGGAGACATGAAAGGAATTAGAATAAATCTTCCTTATGATGTGTTTCAAGAGTCAAATCAGAACAGACTCTACTCTCCCAATTAATCCTTGCTGAGTCAGGCATATCTACATCTTACCTCTTCAAAGATGATAGATTCTCTTTTCAAAAATGAAAGCTTTATTGGATTTCTACACAAGTCCAAGCAAAGAAAGCCGATATTATCAAAGACAAAATGGGGCATCAAGGTCATAGTTCTGACTACGACAAGAGTTCCACAAATGAAACAATTCTTCTGAGACTTTCATGAAGCAAAGAAGACATAAAGATACAAGTTGATCAGATGGTTCTTCAGAAATGCAAGCTTGATAGAATAAGTTGCTACACTGATATCCAGAGGTGAACCTGGCAATAAATTATGAAGTGGAGGAAAACCGAGTTCACCATTTTGAAGTCAAATGAAGATTGCATAAACATTCATGCATCATATTTAGACATTTGCAAAAATAGGTGCATTTTCATTCATTTTATCCATGTTGAATTCTGAAGGGATTTCAAAGATTTTAGCAAAGATTCAAATCCATCACTTGATGGATCAGCTTTTCCAGAAAAAGTTCATAATGAGAAGAACTCATCTGAAGAAGGAAGAAGAAATTCATAATGAGAAGAATTTGTTCAACCTTTTGCTCTAATCCATCATTTGATGGATCAGCTTTTCTAGAAAAAGTTCATAATGAGAATAACTCATCTGAAGAAGGAAGAAGAAATTCATAATGAGAAGAATTTGTTCAACCTTTTGCTCAAATCCATCATTTGATGGATCAGCTTTTCCAGAAAAAAGTTCATAATGAGAAGAACTCATCTGAAGAAGGAAGAAGAAATTCATAATGAGAAGAATTTGTTCAACCTTTTGCTCAAATTCATCACTTGATAGATTAGCTTTTCCAGAAAAAGTTCATAATGAGAAGAACTCATCTGAAGAAGGAAGAAGAAGTTCATAATGAGAATAATTTGTTCAACCTTTTGTTTGAATTCATCATTTGATGAATCAGCATCCCCAGTGAAAGAGTTCATAATGAGAAGAACTCATCTGAAGAAGGAAGAAGAAGTTCATAATGAGAAGAACTTGTTCAACTTTTTGCTCGAATTCATCACTCGATGGATCAACTTTTCCAGAGAGAGTTCATAATGAGAAGAACTCATCTGAAGAAAGAAGAAGAAGTTCATAATGAGAAGAGCTTGTTCGACCTTTTGCATGACTCTATCACAGAAGGAGATATATCATCATCGGCATTTCCAGAAGAAGTTCACAATGAGAAGAACTCATATGAAGAATAAGAAGTTCACAATGAGAAGAGCTTGTTCAACCTTTGCTAGATTACATCACAGAAGGAGATAAATTGTCATCCCCAGTGGAAAAGTTCATAATTAGAAGAACTAATCCCAAAGAAGAAATTATTCAACATTGCCATTATAATCAAGTGAAGTCAAATGGATAAAAAAATTTATTATCTTTTCGTCTTTGCCCTATTCTTGTTAACACAAGAATGAGCAAAGAGGGGCAGCTGAATATACTAATTTTTTTACCCATTTTATTTATTTATTTATTTATTATTATTATTATTATTATTATTATTTTATTATTATATATATATATATATATATTATTATATATATATTATTATATATATTATTATTATTAAAAAATAATTACAGGCCCAATGAAAACTGGACCGGCCCAGTTACAAACAACCAGAACCGGCCCAGACCAAAATGAAACCCTTAATATTTAGGGTTTCAGCTAGGGTTTCTAAACCCTAGCACTGTTGCCACCACTGCTGCCTCCAAGAACTCCCAACAACCGCCTCTACCGACACTTCCCAAGCCAGATGGTCCAACCAGCTGTTGCCGACGCCTTGCTGCCACGCCGCTGCCTCAAGGAACACTCCAGAACGCCAGATGGCAACCAACAGCCTTCCCTACAGTGAGTCACCAACCTAGCTTTGGTGACTCACCGAACTTTTCATCCTTCAGACCGGTCTGAGCAAGCGACCGAGATGGCTATAAAGCCATCGTACCTGCAAAAATAAAAGGAGGGAGGAGGAGAAAAAAGGACGGGAACACACAAAGAGAGAGAACCCACTACAAGCAGGGAACCAAAACAGAAAACAAAGAAAGAAGAAAAAAACTCACCGGAGCCTTCACACGTCACCGGAAACCTTCGAAACCGAAGGTATCTTCTTAGATCTGCTTCGATCGGGGGCTATTTAAGAAAAAAGGTTACCGGAATCGTCTTTAAGACGGCCCGATCTATGTTTTGGGAAATTTTAGAAATTTCGGCCACCATTTACGATGGCCGACGGCGGAGGTGTACGGTGGCAGACGACTGCCGGATTCCCTCCGACGAGGGAAGATAGAGAGAAGCCAGAGAGAACTCTGGCTCTCTCTCTGTTTGAGAGAGAAGAGAAATGAAGAAATGAGAGACTGGCCCTACGGGCCAGCCGGTCTCGGGTATTAATACCCTCTCCCAAACGAAGCCGTTTTGCGGGAGGGTATTTCTGTAATTTCATAAAGGGTAAACCCCGTCCGTAATGCTTCAAATTTGTATACCTTGCAATTTAGTCACTGAAAGCAATTTTTTATTATTTTAATTTAGTCTTCCAATTTTATTTTATTTTAATTTAGTCCTTATCAGCATATATATATATATATATTTTTAGGTAAATATCAAATTTAGTCCCTCATAGTTTATTAATTATTATTTTAATCCCGTATTATGAATTATGGTTAAATTACACTTTTAATGTCTATCTTTTATATATTTCGAATTAGTACTCTAGTTTTATAATTTTTATATTTTAATCATTCAAATTTCATTTTTGATTATTTTTTTTAATATTTTATATTTTAATACTATATTTTTAATTATTATTTGCAATATTATTTATTATTATTACTTTTTATATTATTCTTTTATTATATAATAAATAGATATATATAATAAATATATTGTTTATTCGTTAAAATCTTATATTTCATAAATTACTTTTTAATAATCATATTTTAATATATTTATTTATTTTTCAATATTAAGAAAGGGCAGTCTTAAAACAACTGGATGTCCATTTTCTGATATTTTTAAATAAATAAATATCCTATTTTTTAAATCATATATTAATTATTTTAATTATATATTTTTTAATATCGAAGAAAAGAGCTGTCTTAAGGCACCTAGAAGCCCTTTTCTGATATTTCTAAATAAATAAATATTTTATTTATAAATATATAAATTAATATTTTCCATAATTATAATTTTGAAATAATAGGATTATAAATTAAATATATTTTGAATTTTTTAAATTTTTAATAATAGAGACAATTTATAATTAAAAAATACCAATTTTGGGCGTTGTAGGGGTGCTAATCCTTCCCTAAACGTAACCGACCATGAATCCCTTTTTATTATTAAAAAGAACGAATTTTTGGTTAAAACGCATATCAGTTTATCTTTTAATCGATGTTTTGTTAAAAATTCTTTTAAAGGATGATTTTTAGGTATTCGACCTACCTGATCCAAAAGGCCGATGGCGACTCCCAAATTATTTTAAAAAAAACCATTTATTCACATCACTTTTCTTCGTGCCCGGATGAAAACCGATTAATACATCATCTATGCAGGTAGCCAAAGATGGGATCCCCTTACCACCTGATAGAACAATCTGTCCATTTTGCTCGCAGAAGCGCGCAAATCCATCAGTAGTTACAGTTTCAGGATTCGTCTTCTGCTATGCTTGTGTACACAATTATGTTTATCAGGTAAGGCCTTCGAACCCTATTTGGTGAACCAAATATATTTTTTCAATCACAGTTCAGATATGATGATATGTAGGGGAACTTGCCAAAATGGCTTCATAGGATGTATGAATTACTTTTTTGAAGGATACCATTTAATCATGTCATAAAATTGACAATTCGTATTATCCTTTTTTTCATCTGTTCCAATCTTAAATGAAACTTCACTAGAATCTCTTTGAAGTGGTCACTGTAATATTGGAGATATATTCAATCCTTGGCTTTTCTAAGAAAATGAAACACACTTCTTAAAACTAAAGTTTTCATACAATTTACAGATTTAGCTTATAAAAGTCAAATTTGTTATAACCTTAGATAATGCAAGTTTCAGAGAAAAGAATCATGTATGCATAAAATTAGATTATCCTCGTTGATTTTCTTCTTTAGTTCTTTTCTGTTGAAAACATTTTGATGTTTCGATATAACAAATTAAATGTTAATTAATTTTAAGATTTTATTATATATTCGATTCGAATATGAAAATTATTACTCCAAGTTTTCAAAAGTCTATTTCAATCCTTACTCAAGTGTAAAATTAAGTTTCAATCTTAAAATATTTTTGAAATAAATTTTACAAAGTATTTCGAGCCATATTCGAGCCAAAAAATAAAAAATGATTAAGTATGGTATCGATACCCCCTACAGGGTACCGATACCCCCTACAGGGTACTGATACCCATGTGAACATTTTGGTTCAGAGAAATAACAGAATGCTCGAATGGTATCGATACCCCCACCAATGGTATCGATACCCCTATGCAATGGTATCGATACCCCTATGATGGTACCGATACCCTATGAAGGGGTACTGATACCCCCCACGCTCCAAGCTGTTTTATTAATTGTTTTCACACTCAAACGGCTATATTGACTCCACTAATCATCCCCAACGTTCAGAATCATTTGAAGGTGTATTTAAACAAGCTTAGAAGCCATTGATCAACAACAAGCAACTAGAATCAAGAGAGAATCAAAGAGAAAGCATCAAACTTCAAGTTTGAGAATTTTCAAGCCTATTTTTCATTCAATATTCATTTTGCTTTCAAGAACACTACTTGTACTCAATTGTATTCATTTTTTATTGTTCTTTTCTTTGTTCTAGAATTGTGCAAACATATTACCTTGTGAGGATTTCCTTGTAAGTTTGCAAATTTGTAATCTTCTCTTTGAAAAATAGTGTTCTCAAGAATTGGGGTATATTCTTGATGGAGATGTAAGGTTATCTCTTTGGCCTCAAAAAAAAGAACAAATTAGTGAATTTATTGGAAAATCCTTAGTGTGGATAGCTAAAGTAGTGGACGTAGACTTTGGTTGAGAAAGTCGAACCTAAATCGCTAAGCAATTACTTTCAATTTTCTGCAAAAGCTTCCACCAAAATTTTAATTGCCAATTCACCCCCTCTTGGCCGATTCCATCGATCGGTTAACTCAACAATTGGCATCAGAGCCTCACTCATTTGAAGGTTTAATCGCCTCTTGAGTCGATTTGGGAAGAGTTACATCAATAATCAAGTCATCAATGGCCTCCGCTTCAAACGTTGAATCCGGTCTCGATTCGATGCCCGTCAACAAGCCTCCTTTCTTCAACGGAGCTAACTATGCCTATTGGAAGAATAGGATGATGTATTTCATTCAAGCAAGTGAAATGGGAGCATGGAATGTTGTAGAAGACGGATATATCAAGCCTCTCACTCATCCAAGATTGTGGAACGGAGGAGAGACGAAAATGTTCCAGCTCAACTCTAAAGCCATCCATATCATATTTTGTGCTCTTGGACCAGATGAATATGGAAGAGTTTCATCTTGTACAACAGCCAAAGAAATATGGGATAAACTTTTAATTTAATTCTAACAATCTTTCAATCTCTTATATTAATCATTCGATCCGTATTCAGATACTAAATTTCTACCACATTCATATCGAGTGTAGAAACTAATTAACTACAAAAATGAGACCAGCATTGTCTTAATCATGCATTTACCAATATTCACATGTTCCAGAAAGAATAAAGAGGTAGTAAAGTATTACCTCGATTTCCGTGCAATACTGATAGACCATAAAAATTCTATTTGTATGCCTTTGAACTTCAATTCAACTTCCAATAATTCCTCAGATACATATCAACATAAATTATATCAGAAACGGAGCTTAATTGCGATAAACGGATCGAATCGGGTGATAAATCAGTGATAAACAGCTTATCGGGTTCGAATTTGGCGAAACGGACTTCGGATTCATATTCAGGACGTCGAAAGCATAAAATATGACTTTTTGGAAATTTGGAATTTTTGGTCAAAATCAAAGTCAACGGGTTTGACCGGAAATTTTGAGGCCTTTGGGTTCGAATTTCGAAAAACAGACAGCGAAATCGGATTTGAAACGTCGAAAAATATCAGGATAGGTATACTCGGTCGAAGTCAAAGGTCGTTTAATGCCCAGTCAAAGCCGGTCAATGTTTTGGTCAACAGTGGTCAATGCCGGTCAACGGGTCGGGTCAACAGGTCGGGTCAACATGTCGGGTCAGGTCAACGGGTCGGGTTGGGTTATGACCGGTCAAACCGGTCAACTATGCACCAAAATCGGTCAAACCGGTCATTTGGACCATCCCCACGCGCAGTGGGGGAGCGTGAACAGTGCCCTGATATCGGAAAATTCCCGAAAAAATTTCTAAAAATTATTTTAAGCGATTTCGAGATACTTACAAAGCTCGGTTCAAATTTTTGAACGGCGGAGAGCTCGATTTCAACGAATCGTAAACTTTGACCGCTTCACCTCCTCACGCGCCGCCGTTGACGGAGACCAAGGATGACACCGGCGAACTCGGAACGATGCAACGAACACGATGGTGCGGGAGATGTCGAAAACGGATGACCCGATCGTCGTGAATCAATGAAAAACCAACTAAAATCGAGTTATTACCGACTATACTTCTGACTGAAATTAACGACGAACGACGACGATTCATGACAAAATGTTTGAGGGGTTTTGTTCCTCGCTCGACAACGAACACGATGGTGGTTTTGGCTCGTCGATCGGAGGTCGGATGGCGAGTAGATCGGAGTTCAAAGAGGGGTTGATGAAGAGGAAAATCTGGAAACAATTTCCAAAAAAACATACGGGGGGAGAGATTTATAATTCTCTCCAAAAATAAAAGTGGCTAAATCATGGGTTTAGCCACTGAATTTCCTACACTTCTTAAAACGGTCTACCAACTTTGAAATCTTATAATTTAATCCCCGATTTCTTCCAAAAATACCAATTAAATTCACTAATTTATATTTTCTTAAATTTAGCCCCTAAATTGGGGTGTTACAAAATTAGTCTTTTAACACATAGCTATGAAAAATTCAAGATGAAACCAAATGAAGATATCAAAGCTATGATGGATAGATTCTCAACGATTGTCAATGGTCTCAAATCATATGGAGAGATAATTCCAAACGAGAAACTTGCGAGGAAGTTAGTTTACTTACTTCCAAAATCGTGGCAATCCAAGAAGACGGCAATCATCGAGGCTAAGAACCTAAAGTCCTTAACTCTTGAAGAGCTAATCAGTTCCCTCCTCACTCATGAAATGATGCTTGAAGATGAGGTGGACCTCGATAAGATTGAAGAGACACCAAATGAGAAGAAGAAAAACATTGGAGTTGCTCTCAAATCCACAAAAAAAAAGAGTGATTCGGATGAAGATGACGATGAAAAAGAATGTGACCTTACCGAGGAAGAAAATTCAAACGAAATGAAGGCCTCAAAAATGAATCAAAAGATAAGGACATGATCATTTGCTATGAATGCAAAAAGTCAGGGCATGTCAAATATGATTGCCCACAATTAAAGAGAAATGGTCAATCAAAGAATAAGCACAAGGCTCATATGGCTACATGGAGCGATGAAGAAGGTTCCGATGAAGAGGAACAAGAAGTAGCAAACTTGTGCTTGATGGCATTCGGGGAAGATTCTAAGGTAACCTCTAACTCATCTGATTTTGATGATTTATCTTATGATGAGCTATTAGAGGAATATAATGGGTTGGCTTCGGATTATGAGAAATTGTTTTTAAAATATAAAAATGATATTTCAAAATTGAAAAACGAAAATAAACTCATATCCAAAACCAACAACGATCTTGAAAGTAAAATCAAATATTTGCAAATCAAACTAGAAGAGTTTGAAAAGAAAAATTCGTAGTTACAAAATTTACTTTCAAAGGTCAATGATGATCATCAAAAGAAAAATGATGATCTTAAAGCTTCTTTTGATAAAGTTGGAACAAAACGTTTTGAAAATGGAGAAAATTCAAAATCCAACTTTGTTAGAAAAAGTTTTAAAAACTACAATCATAGAGGTCCCTGAAGAACCTCTAATGGAAAAATCGTTAGAAGTATATGGGTTCCTAAAGGGCTCATTACTACTAAAGATAAGGATATCCTACACAAATGGATACCTAAGGGGACTAGGATTTTGGAAACTAATGAATATGGACCCAAAAGAATTTGGGTACCAAAAATAAAAAATTAATCTATGTTTGTAGGAAAAGGAGCACTGCTACAAGGCAGGGGAAACAAATTCAAACTCATGGTACCTTGATAGTGGATGCTCAAGACACATGACCGGAGATAAAAGCCGATTCATAGAGCTCAACGCCAAAAATGGAGGAGAAGTGACTTTTGGTGATAACTCAAAAGGTCACATTGAAGGTATAGGTACAATAGGTAATACATTTTCCATACAAATTAAGAATGTTTTATATGTGAATGGATTAAAGCATAATCTTTTGAGTATTAGTAAATTATGTGATAAGGTATTCAATGTCATGTTTGAAACTAATGGTTGTAAAGTCATTGACATTGCATCTAATCGGATTATGCTTGTTGGTCATAGAATAGGAAACATATACATGGTGCATTTAGACTCTATTGATATGACTAATTTATGCCTAGTTGCTAAGGATGAGCATGATAGTT